GTGGTGTTCCTACAAAGCCAAAATCAGCAAAAGAACTCAAAAAGGAAGCTGCTAAGGCAGAAAAGTTGGCGAAATTTCGTGAAAAAGAGAAGAAAATGGCTGAAATGAAAGCCCGGCAAGCAAACAAGACGAAGGAAGTTCGTTTTTTATTTTTTATATTTACGGGGATATTTACAGGACGGTAGTTGATTATAAAGTGTGTGACATTTTTCACTAAAAAAAAGTGTGGAAATAAATGACAGGATCGTTAATGGGTGATGCAGCTCTGTTTTACCGTTTGCTCCATTAGCGAGAGGATGCGCTCCGTAAAACACTGCCTCATCAAAATGCTCAAATAAAAAGTATCCAGAAAATGAGCAAACTTAGCGGTTCCTTAGTTAACGATTTTCTAGCCAAAACTTTCAAATGTTCGTAGGCAGGGCCTAGATTTACGTGAGAGTTGGTACTGCGGTCTTAGGGGATACTTGGCCGTGGAATCCAGTGGCAAAATTTTAGCGCGGGAGCTTGCTTGGTTGCCAAGTTGAAATACCCGGACAGACAGACAGACAAACAGACACACACAAGTCTTTTGGAAAGTTGGCAGCTGTTTTCTGCAGTGTTTAAAAAAAATTTCAGGCGAAAGGAGCAAAAGTGAAAACAGAAATTTCGGAATACACATGCTCTACACGACCGGGCCAGAGAAAAGACACATCTGTTGAATTGCCCACTGCATACAGCCCGAAGTACGTGGAAGCAGTTTGGTATGATTGGTGGGAAAAGGAGGGTTTCTTTCGACCTGAATACGGGCGTGATTTGAGGTACGCTTTTAAATGTGTTGGTAGAAATTTTAAAGATATGGACAATGAATATTCCTGGCTAAGAGATTGGAAGAGGAGGAGGATCTAAAATCTTCTATGTGTTAAAATATGCAGTTTGTTTGGCGCTGCTAGCCCACCGTGGAGAGGAACACAATCGAATTTTGATAATGAAACACTGGAAATGCCGTTCAAAGTTTACGCCTTTTTCATTGCATTGGATTCCTATAAAAGTATGTAGTATAAAGTGGTGCCATTTGATGAAAATACTTATTGTAGGGGAATTAGAACGGCCAGTTCCCGAAATCCTCACCCTCTTATAGAGGGCGGATGTAAAGGAAGTGAGGAAGTTAAAACCACTGAATGATTGTAAATAAGATGAATATATTTTTGTGAAAATTGTGGATTTTTAGGAGATTGTAAAACCAGAAAAGGAAGGCTAACAAAATTGTTTACTATTGCATTTGCTGAGTGAACTTTTTTTAAAACTGGATTAGATTTATTGCAGTAAACTGAATCCGAACCGCGCATTTGTAGTGATCATACCGCCACCAAATGTTACCGGAACGTTGCATCTTGGACACGCTTTGGCTACAACTGTTGAAGACACCGTTTGCAGATGGTTTGTGCTTTTTTTTGGCGCAAAAAGCCTTTATTTCTTTTGGGATCTTAACATAATTTAAAAACCCGCAAAAATAGGTGACGATGCGTACGTGGTACTTTAACGGACATATAACCGGGGACAATTCGATTTAGAACAGAAAAATATTTTGACATAGTTGCACCCAACGTATAGTCGCATTCTGTAACATTGGATTTTACACCGATTATCCTGACAATTTAATGTTTTTCTTGTATACATATTTTCCAGAAATTTAGAAGTTTTATCGTTTATTAGGCATCGAATGCAAGGCAAAGCAGTGCTGTTCAATCCGGGCTGTGATCATGCTGGAATTGCCACACAAGTAGTGGTCGAAAAACGCTTGAAACGTGAACGTGGATTAACTAGGCATGATCTTGGGCGTGAAAAGTTTGTGGAGGAAGTATGGCAATGGAAAAACGAGTATGTTCTCTTCAAGTTTGCTTTCTTATCCGTAAATTATCCTTGAGGACTACGGAACACACGGGACAGCAGAACTGTGTGATTTAAAATTTTCCTCACTTCGGAAATCACATTTTTGTGAATCTTATTTTTTGATATCACACCCAGTAGTTATTGCGCCTTATTTCAAAATCGGGCAAAAACTCGCTACTGTATGTTGATTTTTATGGGTCGTGGAGGCAGACCCAAGTACTGGAGCGTTAGCACCTTGCCAGGAGCGGCCGGTTGCTAACAGAGCTTTCAGTGGCTTCTTTCTTTAACTGTCGCTTGAGAAACCACCTCGAAGTTTGTTCTCAATTACCAATTCACCATAGAAGTAATTTAGCGACTTATAAAAAGGTTGACTTTCTTGGTGAAAAATTTAACAGACGGCTCGAACCTCAGAATAAGTGTCATCCTATCAATGTTTCAAGTTCACAAAGCAATATTCTTAATCCAATAGTCGTGAAGTACATGGACATATCAAAAGATGCGCGAAACAGCCGTTAATTCGTAGCTTGGATTTCCATTTCCATAGCTGGCAACTCTTCCTTCTGCTACGGTCTTGTACTTTTAGCATCTACAGCACCTTATTTATTCTAATTGTTGGAGTGGCCCAGCGTGTCGGTGGCTTTTCTGTTGTTTTTTTCAACACAAGCATATTAATGCTAAATATTCTTTTTTAATTTATTTCAGCCCCATTTTTATTCAGTTTTGTGTGCTTTTTGAGTTAATGAGTTTTTGCTTCAAATTTTTTAAAAGCAGTCTAAAAGTATTTTTAGAAAAGGAGAAGTGATTTATGATCAACTACGAAAACTGGGAGCTGGCGTTGATTGGGACCGTGCCTGCTTCATGATGGATCCGAAAATCACACGTGCCGTGGTACACGCATTTATCGAACTGCATGAAAGAGGCATCATCTATCGGAGTAATCGATTGGTGAATTGGTCATGTGTATTACGATCTGCCATTTCAGATATTGAAGTTCGTTTTTTTTTTTTTTTTTTTTTTTT